GCAGCGCAGCCGAACACGCGGCAGTCTGGATCCGGAGGCTGCCGCAGCGGGATCAGCAGCAGCAACGCTGCGTCTCGCTCCACCACGATCTCCTCCTTGCAAGACCCCTTGCCAGGGCTGAGGTGCCTTATCCCGTGTCTTCCCTTTGCATCCAAAGCCTAAATCCTCCACTAAGTAGCCGATTACCGACCTTCAATGCAATAAGGACCTTGGGAGCTACAATTAGAGGCAGGAATTAAAATTAGCTGGTGCTCAGTTTTGAGGAAGGCACAAGTGCTGCGGCAGGGCTGTAAACATCCCAGAGCAGCTTAGCTGCATTTCTGCTTTCCCAGCAAGCTCTGCTAAGAGCTGTTGTGATTTTTGGGCTGGAAGCTGCTTTGCATTTCAGCGTTTTCCCCTCTCTCTGGCAGCACTAAGGCAAAGCCTGGCTTTGGAGAAGGAAGACGGGCTTAGCCCCCGTCAAAGGTAAATTAACAGGGTAACCTGTCAAACCCGTGGTCACTGCAAGCAATGGAGAGAGGGACGGACAAGAAAGGAGAATCTGGGTGGAGCGGGGAGCATCCGGCTGCCTCGCTAACACGGATGTCCCCAACCAAAACTGCCACCGCAGGGCAGAGCTGCAGGAAGGGCAGCACTGAACTCTCATCACAGTGCTATTTTATACCAAGGGAGAGTATTAAGGCAACACTTCTATCCTTATGCTGCGCTCCGGACTGAGTATGACGGGGGAGCCTGCACCTACCATGGCCTTTTTTTTTTAAAGAGAATCTTAGCTGAAACGGCACCCAAGAGGGAAAATGCAGCCAGGTAGCTTCTCCGGATTATATTCTTGGCAACATTAAAAGGGTTTTAGTGCTGTGGGCAAGCAGGCCACTGCGCTACAGGTGAGGCTAATGCAGCTCCCCGGCACCTCAGCTAGGAAAAAGGGCAAAAATTGCCCCAAATTTGACCAGGATCCACACAAAGCTCCTGTATCCAAGACTAGCAACCCAAGGAAAACTGAGCACTTCACGTTTAGAGAAGGGGCTCCTTCCAATGGGAATGGGAGTTGCAGCTGGTATCACACACGTAAAGGCTGCAAAACAGAGATGCTGGGTGCAGATTGCATCGACTTGACTCTGATGCTCCTTATTACAGCTCTGTGTCGCGACGCTGGTGCGTTTTTCTTCTCTCCCGCTCCAGATAATAACCTATTTAATAGAAAATGTCTGAGACAGCTGTTAACCCCAGCAAGAAGAGTCGTGCTAACAGCTCGCAGCCTCTTCAGTAGCACAGGGCCATGGGCGCAGTTAGGTATTAGAAAATAGAGATGGTTTGCAGCCAAAATGATGCCTCCTGGGTTAATTGTCTCTAATGATAGTGTCAAAGAATTCGCTTCCGTGGGGTTCCCAAGGTCCCCTGGCAGCGCCCATGTTCCCAACCCCAACCGAGTGCCCTTCCATTCCTTGTGGATAAGGAAACCCCGGCACTCTCTCCAAAGAGACCTCGAGTAGCATGCAGTGCTATGAAAGTGTTAAACTTCCATCTCCTGGGCAGAAGAGGAGCCTTTCAGTGTGCAAACCCAGGGCAGGGGATTGGTTTTCATCCACTATGAGCTTCCTTAGCTCCTGTATCACAGTTACCCTGTTACGAGAGGGCAGCAGCTACAGCCCTCACGCAAGGGCATGAAAAGACAAGAACAAACGTTGCTCTAGAGAAGAGTAGTATGTGTGAATTCATGGTTAAAACACAGCAAAATAACTAGCCATAGTCACGATGTAAAAACGGACAGGAAGAGGATGAAACATCTTTGAGCAATCGGGGAGATGATGACAGAAATACTGATGTTTAAAACTCATGCAGAACATCAGAGGAGCATGACCAACAAATGAAAACATCCTTCCGTTTTTAAAAGCGTAGGGAAGACCAAGGCCTAGGAATTACTCCACTGTGTAGCCCTGCCTCAAGGAGAGGAGAATTGCTGCTGTCTAGATGACGAGGACCAGACCGAAGAGGGCAAAGTGCTGCACAGTCTTGCATGGGCACAGAGGACCACACAGGAAACCACCAAGACACTTGTGTCCCTGCTGCATCTCACTGCACTGAACAGCTGGATTGTGAAACATCTGCACTGCGGACACACGGGTTCCCCTTTACTCCCTATGCCCTGGGAAAAAAATCCTTTTGTAACGCAACAGCCTTCTGAAGGAGATAGCAAAAAGTCAGGCTTCTTTAAAAAAAAAAAAAAGGAAAAGAAAAAACTGATTGCGCTGTCTTTAACAATTCCTTCTGCTTTCTCTCCAGTCCCACAAACGGGAACTTGAGTTGTTATTTTGGGATCTTTCTGGCTCTCAAACCAACCTTTTGAAATGCTTAGATGGGAAAGCGAGGGATGCACTGCTTCCCTGAAGAGCTCCAGCAGCAGGGAATGACCAATGCTGGGCACCAACTTCTGCCTTCCTTCCCGCTCATGCCGAAACCGAGCACTGCATCACTCCGGATATTTTGGGGGTCTCTGCAGAGCAAAGCAACGTGATGCTCCTTTAACCCAGTAACACTGCTGAATGCTCCTGAAGCATTGGCAGCTGAAATCCATCTCCCTTACACCTACCCTGTAATTTTCCTTGCAAGAATTGAAAATTATAAACCACAGCAAGAGTTACATCATAAAACCAATTACAGCAAGCGCAGAAGTGCCAGGTCTGTGTGTACTCCGTGCACTCGCCATGCTATCAGACACCAACTCCTCCAAGGACAGTCTATCCTTTGCATATCTCAGATATATTTTTTACTACTGAATAACATGTCTCTCTGTTTTCAGACCTCCCAGCTGGTAGCTCAGACTCACTTAATGAAGCAGCCAACACTCTCCAGAAAGCTATCTGAAGGTGAAGTGGCATTTTGCAATGACCTCAGTTCCTGCCAAACCACTTCAAAATCATGAATCAAGCCAGGAAAAGAAAAAAAATCACGAGGTGGCCTCAAAGACATCAGCTCTAAAGAGGCTACACGATCTTTTCATTGCCTGTCGTCACCCATCACAGACACAGGCACAACCTACACAACGGGGCCGACATTTCGAAAGAGATCCCGCTGCAACCCCCTTATCTCCAAACAGAGCTACCTCATGATGGCACATGTTAAAAACACACCACGGGCACAGCGCGTTTTGGAGCCAGCTCAGCCGGACTCCGCGCTCCGCGTGGCCTTGCTGCCTGCGGGAAGAGCTCGGCTCTCCCGTTTGCGCCCCGGGAGCCCCCGCTCCCGCCTTGCTGTTTTTCCCATGGAACACATCATGCTCATGACCCACGGGGCGGCCACTCGAGCGAGTGATGCAAGCTGTTTGGCTCGTGCTTCTTTCAGTGTCATTGGCATCTTATCAGTCCCTGCTGGACACCAGCCATCCCAGCATGTCTGGGCTGATTCC